AACTATAACTAAAAATAAGAATGTCATGCGCACATGTCCTCTCTCTCTCTCTCTCTCTCTCTCTCTCTCTCTCTCTCTCTCTCTTTCTCATTCTCCATCTTTCTTTTTCCTTTGACACATCCATACATACAAATACGTGGGACAGGGTGGAAAGGAAGAGGTTATAGAAGAGAAAAGGAAAAAGGAGGGTAAGGGAGGAGGATAGAATATATTTTATATGAAAGCATTTTCCAAGTATTTGAAGTTGATAGTTGATGTTCGAATGCACTTATAGTATGGAAAGGCATAAACATGTAAATTAACAAAAACAACAACAATAAAACAACTAATAATGATAATACTTATCGACTTAATTCTATATGCGAGGTACTTGGCTGCTTTATATATGATGCCTCACTTAATCCTTATAACAACCTTATTCCTAACCACCATTATTCACATTTTATTGAAGAAACTGAAGTTTAGAGTCATAAACTAACACATTTAACACATGGCAGAGCAAAGAATTGATCACAGACCAGGTTGTTCCCGAAGTAGTTATTTTGGCATTATAAGATCCAGACCTCTACACAATATGTTAACTACTCAGACATAACCTGCAACTAAAGAGAAAGCTGATGTATTGTAATACTCTGGTCAGAAAGACGCAAAAGTAGTTCTACAAATTTTTTAAAATTCTGCTTCAAAAAGGTTAATATCAAACCCTAATTTACATTTTTCATTTTCATTTCTGGTTAAATCAAATGATTTTATAACTTGTATCTCAAGCAGTATATACAATTCAAATGGGTTAGCATCCTTATAAAAACAAGCATTTATCATTACACTTCTTTCAACGTCATGCACACAACAAGTTTCAACAGTTTAGAATTTAATCTATGAAAACAGTATTCCAAGTATATCTTGAATTTGCAGTAGCTTCCTGGAGGCTAAATGTAAAAATCTATAAGAGATGGTAGAATCCACATGTTGTACATGGATTTTACTTTTACTTAGTAAAAGACATGATGATGTGATATCAAGTCAGAAAGAATTATCTTGGAATTTATGGAATTGTCCTTTTCCATCACTACCAAAGCACCAAGTAGCTATGCTGTCAGACTTTTGACGTACCTTCCATGGTGTTGGTCAAAATACTAGCTATACTCATTGTTCTTTGCCTTGCTGCAGGATCTTCCAACAAATCCATGGAAACATGATAAGAACTGGACCGTCTCTTTCTTATTTCTGTTTCAGTAGTTGTTCCCTAAAAATAAAATTTCAAGTGAAATAACCATTATTTTTAAGGCCAACAAAACCTTAAGTGTTCCTATAATAGGTGCTACTTAACTAAATGGTCACCATGCTTTCTCAGATATGAACAGCACATCAAGACATTGCTGGAATCATCGTTCCTGGGCAGTATTTGAAAGCCAATCAGATTCTCAGCTTTCTGGGTTTGCAATCGAGATGGGCTTTTCTAATTCCTCCATCTTGAAGGTTTGGGCTAGAGGGACCAAGTCTGGTATTGGATAGTTAACTTTTTATTGTTTCTTTTTATTGTTTCAACCAATCCCAGTTCGGTTGCGACTGAAACATATTGTTCCTTCATTTATTTTGAAGTTTAGTTATTAGATCTTTACAGACATATGTTCAGTTTGATGTACACAAATAATGGTTAAGGTTTCCATAATATGCATCATTAATAGTTCCCTTTAAATGTGAATTCCACTATAAAATGCTTTCATTCATTATACACAGGTAAAATTTCCCAATATCATTAATAAAGTAAAATATTAGAACTAANTATGTATATTTTACCATTCCATTCCATGATTCACCTCAAATACAAATCTTGTCTTCCTTAACACATATGACAAATCCTGCTTTGAATTGTCCGTTTGTTGATGTCTTTCCGTCAACCACTCTTCTTCTGGTAATAGCAGACATAATTTTTTTCTTGGTAATTCTGCTCATTTACTGTCTTCAGTGATCAGATAGGGTGCTTGTTTTACCAAATAAGGCATGCTAACCCTAGAACCAGAGTAACTGAGTGGCTTAGAAATGGTTATGTAACTCCAAACAGGACAATGCTATGTAATTCTTGGTTCTCTGTTAAAGCTGTGAGTTAGGAAGTACAATTATTTTATTCAGGATGCTATGTTGTTAGGCTAAAAGTTGGTAGAGCATTGCCATCAATAGAATACCCAGCCAGAGATGAAGGAAATATATTGGGAAGACATAGGGCAAGAAGCTGACTCCCAGTGACATTGACTGATAACCTGAATTTAGCCAGGTTTAAACCTGGAGCTATGTGTGAATGGATTTTAGTTACTTGAAGTAATGAACTCTATGCGTAAGCCCGTTTGAGTTGTTTCCTAATACCCATCTCCATAAAGCTTTCTTTCATTCCTTGCTCACATTTAAGAGATAATGTTGAAGATATTCCTATATAGGTAAAGATTTAGACTAGGTAATGTTATTGTCCTTTCCTACTCCAAAGTCCTGTAATTTTTTATTGTAGTTTACAATAGTCTCTGAAATAACTTTCATAGTCTCTGATACAGTGTTCTGACCTTCCACTGTTCTGTCAATTTCTCATTGATCAGTTTCCCCAAATGTAACATGCAGATAATCATAGTATCTACCTTAGGACTAACTTTGTGGGAACCTAGAGAGAGGGGTTTCATGTAAACCATTTGGTACTGTGCCTAGTACAAAATAAGTGGTCAGTATATTAACATTATCATTGTATCAATTAAGACCTACCTGGAACATAATTAACAAAGAGTGGCTACTTCAAAGCCTGAAAATATCATGTATTATACTTTAGGATATATTATTTGCTATCTATATACAACCTGTTTATATGTTCATATATCAAGTTGGGAGGTGCATGAGGAATCAATAAGCCTCTTATATTGGTAACAATATATTTTTGTTGTGTGAAATTATTGACATTGTTTACATAAGACCACTTTACTTTCATTTCTATCACTCTACCATGTAGCCAGTGAATGTTAATATAAATTTTTAAATGAAAATGTATGCCAAAATCATCATTTATAAATTCCTAAATTTACAGGAGAAATCCAAACAGAAATAGTAACTGCTATATGATGTTTCCTCCCCCAAAAATGCATCTTCAGGTATTTACAAATTATATTTCAAAATTATCTGACTTGGCATATTTTATAATTTGTTTGGCAAATGTATATTTGTCCTAAAAATGTCTATTCTAAATACATGAGAAATAGGTCAGGATTTTGTTATTATAAACTAATGTCCTCCATAATTCACAATCATCTTTCTAATGAATGGACAGTTTAAATTAATTCTAAATCAAATTGTACATAAAATCTTTGAACCTTTTGCATGGCTTAACTGTAGCAATATATTTTTGTCATTAAAAAAGGAATGCTAAACTTTTGCTGTCCAGGTCACTTAATTCATATTTAATTTGAGAGTCATATGTGAAATTCAGTAAAGGCAATCATGAAGTCTTTCAATAGAAAGAGGACACTCAGTGAGCCTTACCAGGTTCCCGACTGATAGCACACTGCTGAACTGCTCCGTCATGGGATAGTGTTCCATGGCCATGAAGAGTGTATTTAAAACAATGCAGATGGTGATGGCCAAGTCAACAAATGGGTCCATCACGACCAGGTTGACAAGATGTTTCACCTTTAACCATGGTTTACAGCAATCCCAAATCAAACACATGTTAGCAAATTTATACCAGCATGGTGGACATTTCTGTCTGGATTCTTCAAGTTCTGGAAGAAAAGAGTTAGAATACTCATGAAAACTGCTTACTTCCAATTAGTAGTCTTTGGGGTAAACTGAAAGTGATTTAAAAAAAATAATAAAGTTATTTAAAGGCCTATGGGTTAATCTGACGGTGGAGCAGGAAAACACATATGGGTTAGCTATCATAGAAATCATGGGCACAGAAAGGCTAGTAAACTTTCCAAATTCAACTCGGCTAAACATAGTTTCCATTGTTATACTGTCTGATAATTACTTTCAAAGTTATCAGAAACTAATGGGCAGAACTTATGTTAAGAATACTGAAAAGTCATCCATGTTCCAGGTAGAACAAGACACATATATATTATCGAAGAACTTCTCTCAGAAGATGTCCTAAAAACCTTTAACAGTCACGCTGAATCTCAATTTCTTGAATTACATATTTTCCGGGGTCTTTTAATAAAATAGCTTTGTCATTGTCACCAGTCTTAGTAAAAACATTTCTAGTTAAGTCTCATTAAATATAGGCTTGCATATTAAACTCAACAAGATTCCTTTTTCTACATTACTTACTTTAACTAGATGGCCCAAAAGAAGAGAAAATATCTACTTAAGAAACTAGGATCCTCACTGTTAGCCTAAATCCATGTTTCACAAAATGGGACTTATGTACTACTGGTAAAATGCAAGAGGATTTTAGGTGGAACATATGCAGAATTCATGGTATGCATTTATGTATTAAATGTATAATGATCATACTAAACCTATGATATAAAATTTCATATTAAAAACATTTACTTAAGAAAAACTACAACGATTTAAAGAATTTTAACTAAATAATAGGAGCGAGAATATAGAAATGCACAGATCTTTAAGGTAATCTCAAAATACTGCAACTTGGTAAAATTTCAGGAATCAGGAAGGGGGAAATTATCAACTCTTCCTTTGGTAAGATGATCTCTTAATCAACTCTGGAGTAGGAAAAGGGTGGAAAACTTGTTTTCTGCCAATATCCATGCTGCACACTCTACTACCTGCTCTGTTAGATAAGACCATCGCTTCTTAGCACTAAATAAAAGGGAAGGGCTCTTTTTTCATTTATGGCATAATTGACTCTGGTCAGTCACCATACTAATACTACTGTGGTAACAGGAATATCCCTCTAAACCTCGTGCAGTTTATTAGGCACTAAATATGGAATGCGCCAACATGACCATAGGTAATGACTTTTTGTTCTGCTGATAAACATTCACTACTAACTAAAGTTTACCACTTCCTTAAAGTAAATCAATTTCCTGATTATTTTTAACAGAATTCCATTAAAGATAGATTATTCAATTGTCTCTTGAGATATTAAAATTCTTCTAGAACACAGTTTATTTCCATTTCTTTCAATATGTAATTTTGTAAACAGTAAAGAATAGTTGTGTAGTATATCAGAGGAAAAGTATAAATATAATTATCATGGCTAGTTATCTTGTAGATGCTTTAAGATTCCTAAATAACCTTATGTTTATACTTAGAATAAAAAGATATTATCATTTACACTAAATAACAAAAGAGAAATGAAAAAAAAAGTCTTTTTGTCTGTGCACAGAATATTTTTTAAAATGCTACCTGTCATTTAATAGATAAATATAAGCAAACAAGAATTGTGTAGAAAAATAAAATAAAAGTTTAAAAGAGGAAATTCAGCCAGCATTGTTTATTTTGACACCAGGAAAAAGTGGAGCAAAGCTGTTTAAGTTTTAAAATAAAATCATTCACTTATTCATGCCAAAAAAAAAATTAAAAAAAGGACAGTCTGACATTTTGAAACAAACCAAAGCACTCAAGAGAGAGCTACAGCCATCTCCCCATTATTCCACTGTAGGTTATCCACACTGAGAATCCTTTCCAGTCCAGTTTACACTTCTCAAGCACTTCTCAATTCCTCAGGTGCTTGTAAATCGCCTTTCCACCAACTTTCCCATGGGTGTGACCAGAAAACATTTCTAGATGCATTTTGCATTTAAAAAACTTGAAAAGCAAACAATTCATTTTAGCTCATCTCCTACAGTTTCATTAAGTAGGAGGTTATTCATTAGCCTGGACATGGAGACTTAGCTGTAGTTCAAAAGAAGGAAAAGAGAAGTTGCCAGCCGGGTCAACAGCCTGGTTCATAAAAAGGAAAGGCGAACTAAATCATGATTAGAGTCAGAAGAAAAGATCCCCAAATAAACAGATTATATCAACTTTAGAAACCTTTGTACCATAATTAGGAACAAAAAATGGTACATGTATTAGAGACAGCTCTAGTACGCATGGGTATGCTAAGTATTGCTAACAACCAACCTTGATAAAGCCACATTCAGAGGGTTTAGGTATAATTGAATAAAGAAAAACAAGCTTTTCGTTCTGTACAACCAAAGAGAAATAGAATAAAAACTTAGCCATGGTCTCACAAAAATAGTCAAGAGCTCTGCAGATACTTAAAACCAAACACTCAGTCTCTTGCTTCCTCAGTTACGCTTATTT